GTTTTGCCATTATAAATTTTATTTTTTTAACATAAACCGTAAGATTATTTAGTTGTGGTATTTCGTTAAATTCTAGTGCAAAATAACAAGCAATTGTTTGACAATCCAGAACGTCTAAATATTTGTCTTTTGTATTAGCACCACGATTAGTATGTTTATATTCTTTAAGAACAACTTTCTCCCAATGGTCTTTATATTGCATGAGACCATAATAGGCCAGGCGCAATGCACCTTCAGAAAAAGGATTTTCGGCGATTTTTATATGCCAACTTTGAGTTCTTGGAGTGCATTGTAACTGTTCATTACATTCATACCTGATGACTTGCACACGTTTAGATGTTATATTTGACCAGGTGGGCTCGGTCTTTTGAAAAACTATATTACGTTGGTTGTTTTTTGCGGATGTGTGATTTGCATTAACAGCTTCAGGATCATTTTCAGCATGGCTTCTTAATAAAGATGACGTTGTTGCCGAAATTGATTGAGATATACTTTCAACGATAAATGGTAATAAATTTTCAAATTTGTTGAGATCAATCTCTTCAATTGTTATTTTGTTTTCTGCATAATTACGAAACTGTTCGATCATTTTGTCCGTCGTCGATGTCAAACGACCAAAATAATATTTCACATTCAAGTCAATCAATTCTTGAATATAACTGTACCCAATTGATCCATCATTATCGTTCGCTAGATAGTAGACATGCTGATCTGACAAATCATGATAACGTCGACCATGCGCTGGCGCGTCACCAACATGTATCATAATACGCACCAGCTGTTTCCATTCAAGTTTTGTTACTTGCTGTAATCCTCCCAGAACATCTTCGCAAATGTCACCACCGAATTCGCATGCCACATTCAAAACAAACCTGTGAAATTCTTCTACATCTGTAAAATCCAAAGTACTATATTGTTTGTCTAAAGGTAGGTTTAGATCACGATACCCGATGAATGCGAGACGCATTTTTAACTGCGGAAAACGAACTTTTAACAGATCAACTGTATTAAATATATATTGTTTTACTTGGTCGATATATTTTCTCATACTATTGGTACAATCCATCATAAAACAAACATCTACCGATTCAGCTTCTTTCAGTCCATTGATGATGTCACTAATTTCTTTTGTGCGCTTTGTAACATAATAAAGATGTTCTTGAGCAAGTAACTGCTTCTGTGCAGTAGCAGAGAGTATCTCTCTGCTTTCTTGTTGTAATGCATCGCATTGTTTTTGCATTTCTGCTAAATTAATATTCCCTTGAGAGGTCTTTTGAATATTACGTTGAATTTCATCCAATTGACGACGAAGAGCGTCGAACGCCGGTATGGCACATGTATCTGCCGCACGGCGGGATGGAGGGAAATTCTGAGCCATTATTCGTCGTAGGCTCTTCCTCTACAAACAATTAATTCAATAATAATCTGTTCTACGAAGAGCCATCTTATTCGCTAGTAAATCTGTCTCTCCCTCACAAAAAACAGTTGTGGATGAACTTGATAATGTATCTCGACTGACGTTAACCAATAAAAATTATAATTCCGGTGCTGGATCAATTCGTCACGGGACAATTCGTCGAGGACTGTTCGTTGCAAATAAAATTCGTCGGATGCACAGGGAACAAAAAAATTGAATCAGCGCTCTTGTCTGACTTCTCATACAATGCAACGTATGATTGAATCCTCTTGAAATTATATGTGCACCTTATTTGCAGTGTTTTGATGTTTCAAAGTTTCAGCTTAAAATAATAGTAGCTAGCCATGTGATACGTTTTTTATTGATTGCGATCGCACTGTGAACACACTTCGAGGCACAATTGCGCTCAGGTTGCGCGTAAATACGCGTAACTGTGCGTAATTACACCGTAGCGAACGCATTTTCACGAAACATCATACAGCTTTCTATATGTCGATACTTTGTTGTCCAGTTGCGCTTAGTTACGCGCATTTACGCGTAATTGTGTCGCAACTTGAGCGCAATTGTGTCTCAAAGTTCGTTCGCAGTGCGCCGTAATTACGCCGTAATTTTGGCGCAATCGAATACATGGTATACTTTAGAAACTTTATCAATTAAATAGTTTATTCAATGTTTATCTTTGCTTACGATTTCAATACGAAGATCGTATCTCCTCCTATATCTTACCAAGTAAATGTCAATCTAACAGAAATTGCAAAACTCAGAAAAACAATTGTGTAGTTCTCGATATTATTCTAAAGATTGCGCTGTTCCGAACTCAATTCACTTTCAAGGAAATATGTTTCGTGGCTTAAGACGATGCACACATAATTTCAATAATATTCAATCATACTTGCATTATATAAGAAGTCAGACAAGAGCGCTCATTCAATTAATTTTTTTTCTTCCCTGTGCATGCGACGAATTTTATGACATATCGTTTTATATTTATACTGTTAAGTTAGTCTACTACAGTTTAGACACTGTAATATCCAGAAGTCAGAAACTGAAAAGTTATTCCTTTCGCTCTTCATTTCTTCCACAAATAAGGATTACAATTTTGTTTTCTTGTCCGTATCAAACTCTTTTTTTTACTTCTGCGAATTACATATTACGTCGGATAGTCTCTAACTCTTTTCTCTCACNTAAGATATAGGAGGAGATACGATCTTCGTATTGAAATCGTAAGCAAAGATAAACATTGAATTGACTGTGAGAAATAGTCCGCGACGAATTGACCGGCCACCGACAGGTAAGTAAAAGGTAAGTAAAAGTAGAAACATGATTGATTTTCTCTAATTTTTTACACATTTGTTCGACGTTCTTCTTTGTCATTTTCTGTAGCTTTTGGGGAAGAACTTTCTTTCTTTTTTCTACAGTTTCTTTCTGTTCTTCGTTAACTACACATTAGAGCTGCGCCAAATAGCGATTTCCTTTTCTTTTTTCTTTTCTTATTCCCGTTATAAATAGTAGAGCCGCATCAAATGAGGAATATCTATCTTTTCACTTCTTGTCAAATGTCTATATAGACATTTGCCAAGAAGTGAAAAGATAGAGATATTCCTCATTTGATACGGCTCTAATGTGTGCTCACGTTGCAATGTACAACATGCATTAAGACTGTTGTCTGTGTAGAATGATGTCACGTTTCTTTCTTTTCCTAGTGTACGAACGTTATATAACACTCGTACACACTGGGGAAAGAAAGAAACGTGACATCACTACACAGACAATAGTCTTAATGTATGTTATATGTGTGTACCGTACATTGCAACGTGAGCACACACTATATACAACGTGAATAAGGAAAGAAAATAGAAAAGAAAAGAAAATCGCTATTTGTCGCAGCTTTAATGTGATGAAATGAAAAGAAATAAAATGAGAGTAATACTCGCATTTTTACATTACATATGTGTAGTTAACGAGGAACAGAAAGAAAGTCTGTAGAAAAAAGAGAAAATTCTTTCAAGAAAAGCTACAGAAGACGACAGAAAAGACCATCAAACAAATCTCTCAGTATATTGCTGCAGATAATTCACTTTTGTTCCATAACACGTTCATGCTTCACTTTCATAGCACTAAGCACACTAGCTGCTTAGCAGCACCGTCTACTATGCTCGCGACGTTGTGCGATACGCAATCCATTTGTTTATTTTTGGTCTTTCTTTAAATTGAATTCTGTTTATTTGATAACACAGTTTTAGTGTGACATTCTGAATTCAGGAGAAAACAGCGCGTATTCAAAAGCTTAGGGCCAGAAGGAAGCCTCTGTCATTACCGTACATTTTTTCAGACTTACTCGTGAAAGCAGTGCTTCTCTTACTTTTTTTTCCGGCCCTCCATACTTTTTGTTTACGGGTGATTCTTCCGGAAGCGTACCACCGTTACGGCGAGCATCACAGAAGCAGATGAAACTTCAGGACTAGTAGATCTCACGAATTTATTGATGAGAATCACCTTAAAAAAGTTTTTAGAGCGCTTTGTAGGGTCCTCCGATCGAGGCCCGAGGCTCTCCACAGCAAAATTGTTTTTAAGGACATTTCGTCACTTAATAAAATTAGAGAATTCATAACTCACGCACGATCCATCTAAATTACGTTGGAATATCAACATGTAGTCTATTTCATCTGCTCAATACTATGGAGACCAATAAAAGCTTTAAATACCAACAGAAACTACTTTGGTTTTCGAAAAGGTTTTTCACGCAGTTGCAGTCGATTTACGAACGGCTACAACGGGCGTTCAAACTATCAAAACATTACAGTGACAACGCATTTCAGACAGCCGGGAGACGTCTTATTGTGTTCAGAATTCTATGCTCTA